GCGGCTCAAGATGCTTTCAGTATCCATAAATTCGTCGCTACCTATATTCTCCCACAATGCTTGTACTGCTCGAGGGTCATTTTCCCTGGACATTTTAAAAGAAAACTTTGCAATTAGTTAAAGCAGTTATTTCTCTCCAACAATTAGAAGAACACGTAAAAAAGACGAAGGCTGGTAGATGCATGCATTACGTATCGTCTCCTCGGTACCATTAACAATAACTGAGATGCACATAGCTAACAATGGGTGCAAATAGACAAGCTTAACGTGCAGAACGAATGACGGTAGTTCACAGTTTTAGGCTGACTAATAATTGTTTCTGAACATACAAGGCTGGCTTCATCCGGCTTATAGCGACAGGCTCAACAAACCGAAGGAAGCGGGATTAGTATGAGGTAACACAACTTTAAACGCTGAACCCAGCTCTATCCGGTGACCCGAGTCTAATAGATATTTGCCTATCGAGGAAGCCGGTGGTCTGCGCGAACACGAAATCTCACGAGGGTAGGCAATCTGAGCAATTTTACGCCGAACCCATCTTGATACACACTCCTTTGTTCGGGATTTCTATTAGTTCTCCCTATGTAACTGTTTCCGCAGTCACATACAAATTAATATGCACAGAGTTGGCCCAAATCGGCTGAGCTTCCTTCGTTGGAAGTATGAACAAATTTCGGGTTCGGTTGATGACGACCACTTGTGCAGCATAGTAACTTCCTTGTGTAGCTAAAATTATACGCTTAGTTGTCTTCAGCGTGGCTAAATCACCTTAGGAAGGTAACTCGATATACACTTTCTTCTTGGCTGCCGTGTGCACCATGTCCTTTTTCCCTCGCGGTTGGCTGTTTCTCTATAAATCTTCGAGGGTAGCCGTTCGCCATTAGTGTTGTCGTAATTAACACTGGCTCATCGTCCAGACAATCGGCAGAACAAAATTTGTCAGGCACGACCAATTAGAGTCCTCACAAGTGTCCGTTGGTACCACACTGGTGTGAAGCTGGTGAGGTGCAGGTACTGACCGGACCAGGTTGATTTTCGGCAATCAATCAATTAATCAATCCATCATCCCTGCGACTTATGAGCGTAAAATTGCTCAGATTGCCTACCCTCGTGATTTCGTGTTCGCGCAGACCACCGGCTTCCTCGATAGGCAAATACCTATTAGACTCGGGTCACCGGATAGAGCTAGGTTCAGCGTTTAAAGTTGTGTTACCTCATACTAATCCCGCTTCCTTCGGTTTGTTGAAGCAGTCGCTATAAGCCGGATGAAGCCAGCCTTGTATGTTCGGAAACAATTGTCAGCCTAAAGCTGCCTTGGGCGTAGGTGTGAACTACCGTCATTCGTTCTGCACCTCAAGCTTGTCTGGTTACACCCACTGTTAGCTATATGTATGCATATCAGTTATCGTTAATGGTACTGAGGAGACAATACGAAATGCATGTATTTACCAGACTTCGTCTTTTTTCCGTGGATTACAATTATTGTCCGTTCGATTACGCTTATCTCTAAACGAACTGGAATACCACGAGTCTCGTGTATACTTCATTGTTACCAAGCATTTGATTGCATGTCACAATTTCTTCACAGATTTTAAGTGATCCGTATCACCAACACCACGATGAGTTAGCGAAAACTCGTTCCTTCTCATTTACACGCTCAAAATTTAAGGTTCTGGATTCTCGCAACGCTTCTTAGCATAACTCCGTTTTGCCTTACTTATCACTTCTTCTATTTAACCCTATGAAGATCATGGATGCCACGCGTGAACGTTTGCTTGAGTTATGTATGTATACTTGTATTTTTCTCAGCATTTGCTTGTCCTTTAAAGTAGACCTTTTGTATCCAAATTTCTATCCGCATTTCTCGTGTGAAAGTGTTGAAAATGTATGCAGTCGGGTACATAAAGCTTATTCTGACTTGACTTGTTCTGTACTCATAAACAACACAACGCTGTGTGCTGTAAGTTCACTACGAACGTGTGGGTTGATTGGATTCAGCAGATTCCACTTCTAATGCGAAGGCGGGGCGCATTGTAATGTCAAAATACCAAAGATCGTAGCTGGTACTAACCGGAAGCAGCTGAAATCGAACTCTTACGTTGGTTTAGAAATCAATGGTGCGTAAATGGCGGTAGCAAATGTTGCCAAATCGGGTACACGCTGCACAGAATTTCTAGCTACGGATACTAAACTGGTAAGCTGTGGAGCTCGATGGAAGAAAGCAGAAGTGTTGGTGTAGGTGAACCCCACAGCGCTGACGAATAGATGGAATCCCTTGGTGGTTTCACTCAACAACCGCTATGCTCATTCAGCTGTGTAGCTACCGGTACGATCAGTCTGCCTTTTTATGAAACTGATCACATATTGGGTGAATTATGTGATAAGGTGGACCACAGGGCTATAAATACCGTAGACAAAGCGATATAATAGGCGCGCATTTCCCCATCAGTTGAAAATCGTTGCAAAAAAATCGGAGCGTTGGATACATGCTGGATGACTTGAATAAACTATGACGCCGGCAAAGCCAACACAACATACAGCTCACTTTGAACTGCATAAGGAATAAGGATATCAGCTCCCACAAGGTTCAGAGTCAGAGGATAAGAATAGGGCTTGAAGTCGTTGTCCGAAGATACGACCATCGCATGCTGTTTTGACCAGTTCCTTCTTGCTGAAGACCACTTTTATTTGACTCATACCACTTGGCATCGTGCAGACCAGTGTCTCAACGAAGCTGCCGTATCAATGTGCCATGCCTATTCTCGGAAATCTAGCAGTGTACTGCAGCGATCATCTCACAACACCTGGATACCAAACGACGCAGTCGATACTAGTAGATTGACACCACGACCGACAGTCACTCAATGCTGCAGTTCATTCTTGGCCTTACTATTCACTAATTATCAGTAATCACCTTAGCAGTTTAAGCCATCACGATTGGTGGCGGCCTGCAAAGAAAGTTGTTGCTCTGGGGGCCAGCCCTGTCCTCTGAACGCTCATAACATGCATGAGAGTGGAGAATGAGCCGCGCTATATCGTAGTTAGATATCAGTCATGGAGGTTCGCGGCCGTCACCCATGGCCTATTGGCACAAGTCGCTTGTTCGTAAGAGTAAGGTCCTGGATTCGAAGAGTGCGCGCTACTGACGAGTCCAATAGGACGAAACGGCCGTCTATCGCTTTGCTGGATGTGTGGTGGCTGTATGCCTGAGTCCATCTGCGACGAACCTCTATCAAAATCCAATTAACCCCCTACTACTCACTAATTCTACCAAATTGCGACTGCCAGCAGTGCCTCAGATGCTCGAGCGGGGTGACGCGACTCAGCAGCATCACCAAAAACAGTACATTACCCACTTGAACTGGGCTTCGCTGCCGTACAATGACAATGACCTAATAAACGTAGCATTACGAGAAGGAGAGAACGGGATTAAGCAAACATTCGAGATCAAGGCGTCTAAACCTTGCCAACAACATATCGTCACAAACAGCTGGCTATCGTGCAAAGATAAGGAGGTATCAGCAAGACAGCTTCTTTGCGGCTTTCACTGCCCCGCATCATAATCAGCCATTACCCCTCAGGTAACTCAGCACCAAACATACTACAAACAAGCCGCACAACTAGGAACCGATAGCAAACGCGCCACTGGTGTCGCTTGCGAGCCATGTCCTACAACGTCTTGAGCCAAGCACAAGGCGGGTCAGATGGATTTTAGTCTGGAAGGCGAGAAGGACCGACGGCATCCAGTTTGGTCGTCCGCGACCTCATTGCCCGCTTCAAAGTCAAATTTTCTCTACCTCGAATCTTGCGCCACCCTACATCCGGCAGACGAAACAAGGTCTCCCTCGATAAGCGGTGATCAGGCATGCGTAGTATGTGTTCAAAGCCAATGTAACTTATTCAGTGCTATCTGTTATTCTAAGGAACTACATTGATCATCACTTCCTAGCACTCGCCTATGCATATCATCTTTGCGGACACACTGGTGCCAACCGGCACCAGCAGTGCTTCGAAGACAATGATGATCAAAGACTTGAAGGTGCCTCAGATCGACGGAACCAAGTTTCACACCCATATATTAGAATGGTACTCACAGTGGCTTTGTAAACACGCTGTTTCAAACAAAGGGAATGTCCCTTCTGATCTTACAGATTGAGATTAAAAGCTGACTTTTCCAATACGTGAATGGACTTCGGTTTTTGTGCGCATATGTGGCTGCCAAGGTAAGCTAACTGATCAACTACCTCGAGTTTCTCGCAATGCCACTGGTAATATTCGACTCTGGATACAATAATCCACTAATGAACCTGTTCCCCTGGTGGCGACTACAGCATCTCGAACTGTGACTGTAACCCAACAGTAAGTCTTCTAGGTGTCATCGCCGAATATTGTTTCCACTGAGCTTGATATTATCATTTGTGTGCCAGATCTAATACTGTATCCGTGTATGCTTTCAGTTGCATGAAAAAATATCACGCCATCCTAGAGGGAATAAGATCGTTGAAAGAGAAGGCAGTCGAAATTTCCGCCTCCTAGAATGGATTATCAAGATACTTTTGAAATAAATGAACTGTCATCATACCGCTATTTCTGTTACTTATTCGAATCCGTTGGTTGTACACCTCCGCACCTGGTTAAGGGGAGCAGCCACTGATGAGTTGATTCCATGAGGGAAAATTTGGTACAATCGAAAATGTTGTATTTTGCTCAAGATATGATTCTAAGGGAGCAACACCGTTACCAAATCACGGTGCTCGATTAGTACAGATATGAACGACAGCTATGGTAACACGGCTGAAAACAGCGAAACGATATGCAACACCAGGTGGATATGAATGAGACTGGAATAAAAATGAAGGCAAAATATGGTGGATGCAAGTGGACACAGAGAAAGCCCCTCCTTTTTGTGCATCGGGTTTGGAATGTTCCCACTGACTGGGGTTTGCACACCAACCGTCATAGGAAAGTTAAAGAGGAGCGATCCAGATGCAACAGGAATGCTAGGCGGAAGTCTGATGGGGGAAGTGCGAGGGGTTATGGGGCTTAAAATGAGATGTCTTTCGCTCAAGTTCCATCTGATGTTTAATGATTTCAATCAGTTCGTGTGGCTGTGGTATGCGTTGGGAGTCCAATTTCGACCAAATCGGCATATCTGGAAGAGAAACAGTACAGACATTAGAACAAGTGGGGCGATGGGAGCTAGTTCATATGCTGAATATATGTCAACGTTTAGCACAGCAAATTTTGAGTTGCAAACTCCTGGTTTCGTATCGATGGGGATACGAACATGCCAACCCACAAGTAATCAGTTGCGTGAGTTGGTTGCTGAGAAGAGTATTTGGATACAATCATATACTGCAGCGTAGCCTCAAACATCGGTCTTAGTAAGTGACTTTTGAAAGCAAAGTATCGAGGAAAAAAGAAAATCAAATAGCAGGATCCATGAAAAAAACGCAGTGATGCCATTCGGTTCCGGACTAGAGGACATTTTGGGAAAGTTTATAAGACTGACTGGAATATTTCCCGAAAGAGCAGTCGAAGGTGTTCTAGTGAATTGCGTTCTGGGAACTCATCAGCACGGACAGCAATTCTCGTCTTCGTCGGCATCATCAGACTGTGGATAGCGCCCGCCCATAGACTTTTAAACTCCGCTGCCAGGCCAGTTTGATTCGTTTATTACTGTGCAACATATCCGTTTTATGCCATTTCTTATTGAATTCGCTTTCGATTTCCATTATGAATTTAACAATCGCAAAGTCGTGTTCTATCTACATCTTTTGGTGTCGCTTTCATATAGTCAATTATCGTCCATAGATCGAACTCTTAGTCTTTCGAGTTATTTGCCGTAGTAATGACGAAGAAAACACCCTATGATTCTTGCTGCAAAACCGTTACACATCGAGCGAATGCAGTTATTCGCTTGTTGTATCGTGTGAATTTTCATATTTCGTGTATTGGTCTTACTATTGAGCAATTCAAGCTTTTACTCGAGATTAACAGTGATTATGTTCAAGGATTTTGCAAGCAGTGCCATAGTAAAGTGCAACAGGAGGAAGTTGAGAAACGCCGGGAGCCAACAATAGGCAAAGCGTTCCAAGGCAAAGGGGCTCCATGTGTTCACCTGAGAAGGCTGACACCCAGCCACTCTCAAGCTTGAACGAGCTTACTTTCCCGCCGACTGTGGATTCTTCAGTACAATGTCCATCTGCTGGCATGTGTGTTTTGCGTCCGAGGAGCACTAGCTACCCGGTGTGCGATAACGCAAGTAAAGTAGGCCAATGGTGAACGCAACGAAGTAAGAAGGAGAAAGCGACGGCAAGCTACCAGCGGTGTTGCAACCCTACGAGATTTCACGTGCCTGAGTCAACGGATATGAATCCTCAGGCTCATTATGATCATGATGTCGAATTTCTACAGAGCGTGATTGATAGGCTCCTCGAGCTAAGTGAACAGGGGTTAAGAATGAAGCAAATCGCTCGTCTTGGAAAAAGAGAGGTGAAGACGGCCTGTACGAGTCCGCTTTGCAAACGACGCGAGTCCGAGGCTAGTACCGTCCCGTCTCTATAGGTTAAAAGGGTTGAACATCCATATTGGTCCAGATATGGATCCGTCGGACCGAAAGAAATTGAAATTCGCTATTACTGAGTTAAAGTGGCGTACCGATGGTGGGGAAAGTAATCTCCGCACCGTAAATTTTCGGGTAGTTCCCCGGATCCGCCGAACCCGGATCAACAGGTCGATGAAGCTTCATGCGCGCCAGGCGGTTCATACCGCGGCCTGCGTGTAGCTTTCACCAGTGTTCGTAGTTTGATGAACAAACGTGACAATCTATAGTACTTTGTTGCCTCCCGTTGTCCGGACGTACTAGGACTGGCCGAAACCTGAGGTCACTACCCAGGAATTCCAGATCAGCGGCTACTCGTGCTTCCGGTGCGACAGATTAACAAACGAGCGCGGTGACATATTGTTATACATTTGATCCCCGCTGTGCTGAAGACTGGTAAACATAGAAAGTAGCGAAGATGACCTGTGCGAGTAGCTATGGTGCTCGACCCCCCGGAGGCAGGATGAACTATTTGTTGGGTGCAACTTATCATAGCTTGTGAAGTGGATGTCTGGATTGGTTACAGCATGTCAGAGTCAGCTCCACTTCCTGCTTATGAGCGATTTTAACCCCTCGAATTCTGTGGCCTGAGGTCCAACTTCTTCCCGGGCACTGTGAAATCGAGGCGCAGTTTGCGGAGATAACATATGAGACAGGGGCAGTATAACAGGTCTGCCAACCGACGCGCGTTACACCGCATTCCGCTCCATCGTGCTTGCGAGCAACGTGTATATGATAATCATGCCCTGCAGCCTCTGACAGTCGGCGCTGCCCTACTTGCGTCCGCCGGAGCCGTTATACAATTACCGGAAGACCAACTTCGATGGTCTAAATCGAGCCGCTAGTGACGTGGGCTGGTCGCTACCGTAGGATCCGTCTGTTGAAGCTTGTCGAGCTCTCATAAAAGAGGGTGTACAGTCCTTGTTCACTTGTTTCGCACCCCACAGAACGTACGAAAGCTGGACCAGTGAAGACACGTTGGTTCGACAAAGAGTAATGACAACTGGCTCGATGGCGACACGTATGGTGGAATAAATTCCTCGTGTCTTGTTGTATCGACGAGCATGAGACCTACAAAAGGCAGCAGAATCCAGGTAACGGCGCAAAAGCGTCGAAATTTCGAAGAGGAGCTCGCAAGCTCAGCAAAGTCGACGCCCAAAAAGATTTTTGCTTACCTTAGTGACGTCTGAAGCCCTCAGGTGACCTAGCAGTGTTAGAAGACTCGGGTGGACAGGCTCTGACTACCAGCACTGAACGTGCGTCCGCATTGGCGGAGCAATTCGCTTCCGTATTTACAGGTAGACATGCGCGCATGCCGAACTCGAGGTGTGAAGCTCCTATGGAACTCGAGTGCCTGGATTGCGATGTGGAAGATGTCCGCAGTATGCTCGCCAGTCTTGACGGAACGAAACCTGCCGGACCCGATGGCCTCCATCCGCAAATTCTAAAGTCCCTATCGGCTGTCACACTGCCTTCTGTGACTGATCTGTTAAACAGGTCGCTGTTTGAAGGTGCATTGCAGAGCGACTGGAAATGCTCGGTAGTGAAGCCGATTCCGAAGGGCGGTGACGCGACTAAGGTGGACAATTACCGGCTGATTTGTCTGACCTCTGTTTTGGCGAAAGTGCTCGAGAAGATTGTGAAAAAGGGTTTTCTCCAGCTGCTAGAGTCGAAGGACCTCATACCGCCCGCACAGCACGGTTCCATGAAGGGTCGCTGCTGTATCACAATCCAGCTGTTGACGCGGCATGGATGGTTGCAGACGTTGAATTGGGGGAAACCAGTAGAAGTTAGCTATAATGATTTCAGTAAAGAATTCGATAAACTGAACCATGTCCTCTTCCACAAGCTGAGGATGTGTGGTGTTGGTGGCGCACTGCACCAGTGGATCAATGACTTTCTCATTTGGGGGAAATGACGGGTACATGTGGAGGAACACCTAACGGGTCGGTATCACTCAACCAGCGGTGTACCCCAAGGCACAGTGCTGCGACTCATTTTATTCCTGATCCACCTAAACGAAGTGTCTTAGCTTCTTCGGTCGCCTTGTGCAGTGTTTGCAGATGACTTGAAGATTTTGATGGGTATTGATTCTCCCGACGACCGCAACCGTCTATTCCGGTGGTCCGCAAAAGTTGATTTACCGGTCAACCCTTCCCAATTCCTCGTTTATAAGCCTGGAGAGCGGTGGTAATGGGCATGAGTACACCCTGGCCGGCCACCCGTTGCATCCAACCACTTCCGAAAAGAATAAAGGCGTACTCTCACACTGTGATCTGTAGTCTGTCAAAAACACGAACAGACTGCTTTCGGCACGTAAGCGTAGCTTCTGCACTTGGTGTGAAGATATTGCCACTGGCTTGTTCTCTTCCATGATAAGACCGGTGCTTGAGTACGACTCACTCGCCTATTGTCCGATCACAAAAGGTGAGATGCAGAGACTGGAACGGGTTCAGCATGTAGCTACCCGGCTCATCCCCAGTTTACATGATATGTTGTACGAGGCGCGGTGAGGGCTGTACACCTTGTTATATCATCGGCTCCGAGTTTATCACATAATGTCGCACCGGATATTGCATCTGGGCCACTTCACTATGTTGAGGCCGATGCTGCACGTTCGCGCAACAAGCAGTACACGTGGACACCGGTACAAACTGGTGGTACCGGATTTGAAGTTTCGAGCGTCGAGAGTTGAAACATTAGAACAAGTTGCGTAGACAATAGTTGAAGCGAAATCGATGTCGGAATTTAGGAGAATCCTCGACCCCTCAATTTGTGGATTACAGGTATAGGAGCGAATCGCACCCGGATAAGATGTAGTGCAGCTGTAATATGCTGCCACCGCGCAGATGCCCAATCTAACTACGATGGAGCTCGCTGATTTCAGTATTCATGTTCGTCATCATCATCATCATCATCATCAATAATGGTAGTAGATCCGTGTGTTGCAATGGTGTTGCGCAGTCAGGCACCTATAATGGTCAAATAGTAACATCAAATAGCTTCCGTACAGCTTGCAAACACCATATGATCAAAAACGGTTGCTGGTTGTTTAAAAGCAAGGTGGCACCAAGAAGACAGCTACTTTGTGAAATTAGACCATTCAGCATTCAATATACACAGTATCTGAAGGTGGAAAACATCTCAGCTATTGTGCTGCAATACAAAAGACAAGAAAAAGAAAACAAACAGTGCCACGCCTGCTGAGTCCCCAGTAATGGATGGACATCGTTCCGGAGAGCTAACAGCTGGCTATCGTGCCGTAAAAAGAGAGTCATATTATGCCCAACGAGTGAGATCGTGATGGGAGGGGGATGCTAAGCAGGAGGGGGGTGGACAAAGGAACTCACAACACAAACGCCATTGGGGCCAACTCCAAGCCATATCAGCAAGTATGTCCAACCAAACGTGTTCATCGTCCTTGGGACCCCAGCCAGGCAACCGGGATACACCAACCGACGCCAACTTCGAAGTGAGCGTTTTCATCTCTCTCGACCAAGTCATCGCTTGGCATCCCCTCCTCTCTGTCAACCGCACCCCAAGCGCGC